GGACCTCTACCTTGCTGGCCCACATAATAGATAGATTCAGGATTCACCGGACATTGGTCACTCATATGACCATCTCTACAAATTTCACAACATATGGTCATCCTCTGAACCTGCTGCATCCGATGCCCTTGACCCATTGCCACCTTAGCCGTTTGGTTGTTTAGTTTAGCAATCTTTGCTCGCATGCCTGACATCTCATCCTTGTACATGTTGCTTTCTGTTTTATTATCCTTCTTGAGTCACTTCACACTGTCAGTTATGATCATTTGCAATGAAATTATTGAGCAGGGTCTGAATCCCACTGTATGGCTTTTGCATGCAACCTCCTCCACAAGCTGAATCTCGATTTAATTTGGAGGTCTCGTCCAATCCATCCATAAAAATATGTCCCAACACCTCATCAGTCTGACAATGATATGGACAGTCTCTCAGTAATTTTTTATATCTTTCCCAAGCTTGACGAAGAGTCTCACCATCTCGTTGTTGAAACCCAAGTATCTGGCTCCTCAGTGCCTTTGTCTTCTTAGTGGAAAAAAACTTGATTAAGAATTTTCGTGCCAAATCATCCCAAGTGTGGATCGAGTTTGCGGGCTCCTTGTTTAACTATTCCTTTGCTTCCTCCATTAGAGAAAAGGGAAACAAAGTCAGTCTGATATAGTCCTTAGAGACGTTCAGATAGTTGTATGTATCCATAATATCCAAGAAATTCTGTATATGCCTTTGGGGATCTTGGCTTGACAACCCCACAAATAACCCTATGGATTGAATTAATTGCACCATGTATTATTTCAGCTCAAAGTACCCAGTTATATCAGGCTTCATGATAGCCTGGGTCATTTTCGCGAGACTAGGCCTTCTGGCCTCAATCACCGATCTTTCTTCATTTTTTACCATCTAGATTGGATGTGGTTGGACTACAATACCCAACTCTGCAATTCTTGTTCTTTCTTTCGCCTCCTTCCTTAACCTGTGGAAGAGTCTTTCAGGTTCAGGATCAAGAAGAGGAAGGCTGTTCAAACTGTTGCTTCTTCTTAGCAATCAAGGTGAACACTTGTAGAGTCAGAAATAGTCAAATAGATTAACATTTGAACAAAAATAAATAAGAGCTTATTTCAGACAAATAACTAATTTCTAAATCCTCGGCAATGACACCCAAAACTTGTTGGGTCCAAACGTACACGCAAGTATACGTGGTCAACAAGTAATAAAGTGATAAGAAAGTATCGTTCCTACGAGGATTTATAATTAACTAATGTCCAATCTAAGCTATTTATAAATTTAATGCTCAAGTGAGTGTGAAGAAGATGGTTGTGATTTTTGTAACTAAACTACTACGAACTAATAAACAAGCAGAAAAATAAGATCGTAAGTAGAGCAAACAAACACTTAGAAAGAATTCAATGAGATGGGGATATTCCAGGGTTATGGGATTGACGTCTCTCCTATTGCATTTTTCAGGTTGATGTAATCACTTGATTTATCTAATTTGTTGATTATCAGGGTTTATTATGCTCGCGAAATTCTTTCGACGCTTCGCTCGCCTATTTAAGCTAACCTAAGATTATATATCTATAGAATCAAACTTGAAAAGAAACATCTATATTTTCTACAAAAATAACCAAGTAAGGCAACTAGAATATGTCTATCCTAGCGAATCTATTCTCTTATGCCCGGATTCAAGAACTTACTTTATTCAATCCTATATGTAATTTATAGTTTCCACTTTCGAGTTCAACTATAAATTCATAGATAGTACTCTATTATTAGCTACACAATAGAATAATTAAGTGCAAGATTGAATAAACAAATTACTCTAATAAAGTCAAGCAAAACAATCAACCATCAATTTACAATGATCAAGAACAACCCATAACCTTAGAATAATAAGGTTCTTAGCACTCATGTTCATAACGATCATCAAAATATTTTTTTTAAATATAAAAGTTATGAATACTAGATGAAGAATGGAAGAATTAATGAATTCCCTGCCCCCGAGTGTTTCGTACTTGTGTTTCTCTCTCAAAGTCACCCCTGCCAAAATAGGTTTAGGTTTGCTTTTATACGAGTTGGGAGCGTCTTGGGGTCGGAATAACCAAGTTCCGACAAATAGAACAAATTTCCGTCACCAGCACCCAGGGTAGCGTGGGGCGCTAGCCCTGGCACTGAAAATTTGGAGGTTCTGATTTGTACGCCATAGGTAGCGCCCCACGCTACCCTAGGTGCTACTTGTAGCTTTTCTTTCATTTCGTCCCCCTTTTGCTTTAATTCACGTACCTTCGTCCCAAATTACCTCTGGATGATTACTACATATAAAAATACCACGAATTATCATAAATTATTATATTACACATCCGAAATCTACGAAACATGAGAAAATGCGAGACAATATGCATATAAATATACATACTTTAAGCCGAATATCAACCCACTCAAAAGAAAGAAAATTTTGATATTTTTTTACTACAAATAGCAAATTGGCTAGTATTGATAATGTTTAGTACTAACTTATGGGCCGACATAACCGGTAATTTCCTAACAAAGATTTACCTCTTTAATTTTGAAGTTGGAACTTACATAAATACAAAATTTTGTATGAGTAGTATCTTCGTGTAATTACAATTCGACTCCTAAGTAATTTGGATCTGAAATTGTAGTGATTTTACTTCTTGTATCAAAATTAATAAATTAAATAGTTTGTATTATTTTCAAATAGTGTTGCTTATTGTATATTCTTGTTGTTTTTATTTATATTTATTAATATTAATTGCACTCTCTTTTCACTTTCACACCATTGTCCCATCAAAGGCCTATTTAACATCTCTAATATTTTTTTTAAATGTTGTTATTCTCTCTTTAGCATAAAGTAACTAGGAAGATGAGCCTATATATTACATGGAAGGTAGAGAAATGAAACGCTTATAGAATGAGATTGGAAGTTGATCAACATGCTTCTTCTTTTTTTTCTTATATAAAGTTGATCCATAAAATTATGCAGGTAGAATGTGTGTTTGACTCAAAAATAATTTTATGACTACTAATTATTAATTTTTGTGTTTATAAAATTATATTATTATTGACAAAATGGTAAGTTTAATATTGAATTATTGGTAAATATAAAAAATATCATTATCTTTAGAACAAATGTTAAAAAATTTAGCGACTAGTATTTCATTTCTTGATTTGCTTAAAGTCGTCGTCTTTAGCTGAATGGAAACAATGGACTATTAAATAACTCTGACACTGTGTTTGGATCATTGTTACCCATCGTTTTATAATGTATCGTATTGTACTGTACCCGTATTGTATTGTATCGTTTTATTAATACAATATTTGGATAGATTGTATTGTTTGTTGTTGTTAAATAATATTTTGTTATTTGGTTTGACTATATCGTACTGTACTGTAACTGATAAGTTTACTAAGATACCCTCAATTGTTTTAAATATTAATTTATCAAGAATTAAGTATAAAAAAAATTTAAGAAATTCCTTTCTACTAATTTATCACCAAATATGTCTTATATATAAATTAAGCAATTAACTTCATGCAAACTTTATTGAAATTAGTAGAACAAGTTAATAATATTAAAAACAATGATAAGTACACTTTGCACGCTTGAAAAAAAACCAATATTATTCAACTAATTGGAGATAAAATAATTAGAATTGAAATTAAAAATCAAAGTAGAAGAAATAATGAAACAAAAGGAAAGCAAAACCTATACATGACGTTGGAGTTGGAAGCGGCAGAATAAAATAAAAAAAGAGACAAAACGTAGGTTATATGTTGGAGTTAAAATAAAAAAAACATAAAGGGTAAAATAGAATTATAAGGTAATAAGTTAGAATATAATTGAAAAGAAAAATAGGAAACAATCTCATCGATTGTTACAAAAAATGGGATTATGCATTATTTCGAGTTTTTGGCAAAAATCATCATTTAACTATGGCTCAAAATTAGGGTACATCCTTGTGTAATAATAGTGAATAAAAAATATCCCTTAACTATTCAAAAAATAGCAAGAATCATCCTTCTGTTAATTTTCGTTAAGAAATTAACAGCTACAACCAAAACATGTGCCAAATACGTGACTTCCCCTCCCCCCCCCCCAAAAAAAAAAATGAATCCCCCTTCACTCCTAATTCTATCCCTCTCGAAGCTATCCTGCTCTTGCATATTCAGTGAAACTAAGGTTTCAAAAGCTATACGTTCTACGTTTAACTTCAGAAAATAACTAGAGCAATAAGATACGTTATTTTCTTGAACAAGAATTGAAGCTAGGGCTATTCTATATTACTTATCTTCCCACACCTCACAAATAAGATAAAAGCAACAATACCCATTGAAAAAGTTTTGGCTTTTCCCATTCTATGGAGTAGTATTTTTGCTATTTCTCAAACTAAACATCTTCCTCATTCTTAAAAGCACCATCTTGTGGGTTGAAGCATAAGAAACAATAGGAAAATGCTCGCTCGAAATTTAAACGACCAATCATCCACACTAACTATTTAAGTATTTGATAATATTATATACAATATCTTTCACATTAATTTATACTGATATTACTGAATTTACAAAGTTCTAGTAAGTCTTTTATTTAATATAAAGATTTATTATTTTAATATTTATTATATTCAAAGAAAAATCAAGTTTTAGAAGCCTAAGCTTCGGTGAAGGATGAAAACGAGATGATCGGGAAGGACAAAATAATGAGATTTGGGGGAGTCACGTGCTTGACACATGTTTTGATTGCAGCTGTTAGTTTCTTAACGGGAATTAACGGAAGAATGATTTTTATATTTTTTTGGATAGTTAAGGAATATTTTTTGTTCACTATTATTACACAAGGATATACTCTACTTCTACTTTTGAGTCATAGTTGAGGGAATTTTAGCCAAAAACTCTATTATTTCGGAATATTGAATTTAATAATACAATTCAACAAATTTTAAAGTAATTTAAACAATGATGGTGTTAATGACTAACCACTGACAGTCTGACTCAGTTCATCGGTCCTGTGCAGCTAACATACAAATTCCAGTCCTCTCAACTATTAATCTCAGCGGAAAAAACAAAAGTAACTCTTTAATTTTGATCATCCGTCTCAACTCAGAAGCTCTCTTCTCAATTATTTCTCTTCATCTCTCTGCTGCTGCAGCAAAAGCCCATTGGTTCCTTTCAATTTGGCCTAAATTTCTCACTATCAATAGTAAGTTTTTCATTAATGTAATCTTTTTCTTAATTTTCTTTGCGCAATTGTAATACACTGAAGGTTCTGTGCATGTTCATTTCCAAGTAAATTCAAACTTCACTTTTTTTTAGCCATTTCAACAAGGATTAGAGAAATTAATTAAGAAAAATGAAATCTTTTTTTACCCCATAAAATGAAAGAAAAAGATGTGGAATTTGGGTCATATTTTAGGAATACAAGGTAGTAGGCCTTGCTAATTTGCTCATGCATTCTATAAGTGACTTCTTGGTTTTTTATGGATGGTCTGACTAATTTGAATTGAGAAAAAAATAATAATTTGGTTTATAAAACAATGTTTCGATATCTAGAAGCTACTACATATACCATTCAACTGCTGCAAAATTATACCAGCAATTAAGCAAATTTTGTTGAGAAATGTATATTTTTAGTCGTTCCCAAAAATAATGGCCGACAAAATAATTTGTTTTTGTATATATATGTATAATATACATATTTTATACACTTTTGGCTAGCGAATGCAATTAATTTCGGCCGATCAGTTTGTCCGGGCTAGCTTGCCCGCACTTCGATTATTCCACCCGGTTGCACCTCGATTATTCCACCCGGTACCTGCTATCTCTCACCAGCACTAATACCGCTAAACTCTGGCCACCAAGGCTTAAGCAAATGGGAAGAAATGACGTAGTGTCTTTTGCCTCCTCTGGGTAGCTATTATGCAAATTTTAGACAAAGGTTTTTGGTTAAAGATGAGATGTTTAAGTTTAGCTATCTGAAAGTAAAAGAACACAATTAATTTGGAAATAGTACACATATTTTGGCACCTTTCCAGAAATCTAAGTGCAGAATTTAATGACTGATACTGTTAATTGAGCTCCATTTAAAGTGTTAATTGGCCCGAAAACATGTTCAATGTTTGGTTTTATATTTTCTGTATCAAATCTCCCGTCTCTCATTCTTGTACAACATTCAAATTGTGTAACTTTCTTGATTTTTTTCAATCTTTCTTAAACAGTGGATGAACTGGCTTGGTTCTGACATAACTAAAGAGCAGCGTATACTGGCTTTTACTATTAATTCTAAGGATAATACTACTTAACAGCTTTTAAGTAGTCATGGTTCTTCTCTCTTGGATAGCTTCTTGAATCTGAAGTTGTTTTTCAATTGGCAATATGCTGTATTAGAACAACGGGATATAGTCCATGATTTTTACTTTACTACATATTCTTCAGCACAGAAAGTTCTCCAGTTTGTATATCAGGATTCGTGACCATAATCTGTGTTGTGCATCTCTTTCAAGCTACAAATGAAGAAGTGAACGGAATCGAGAATTTGACATCTCATTATGCATCATTAAGAATGTAAAAGATCGTCATACATCAAAAAGTTCAAAGTGCTTTCGAAGTCACGTATTATATCCATAGATCTTTGTGCATACTTATGAAGAACATAAAATTAATTCAGCATCTTTAACATGTTCATAGTGGAAGGTGGCGAGAAGATTAACACTTCAGAGGCAAATAATAGCTGCACGATTCCAAGAGAAATGGATGGTTTACATCTCAAGCCTGTTGCATGTTTGGAGTCAGGAGAAGGCTTACCTTATGCTCCTGAAGATTGGCCATATCCAGGTGATATCTGGACTTGGAAAGTTGGAAAAAGAGTCAAAGCTTCAGGATACTTTCAAGATAGATACTTGATTGCTCCAAAAAGGCTTCAAGAAACCCCAAGAAAGAAAATGTGGTTTTTGAGCAAGATTTCTCTTAAAGACTATATCAAAACAAACTTCCCTGAAGCTGATATCAATGCTTTTTTCTCATCATTCGTTTGGGAAATTCCAGCTGAATTCAATGCTTTTTTCTCGTCATCTGAGGGTAAAGGTTAGTATGAGAACTATGCAAATTTCTGACACTTCTTGATGGGATATTGTTCAATGTCATGTATGTTTAGGTTTTTCTGTGATATAATATACTGATAGATAAACTCCCTTTCTATGATTACACAGTTCTGTCTCTTGGCCTCTTTCTTTTCATTTTGGTCACCATATAGGCTCTTTAGACTTGAAAATTGCCAACCGCATTAGCATAATAACTTTATATCTGTTACATTCTCTTGTCTAATCATGGTGTAATTACTTAATGTCCAGAGCTGCCTCAAATTGCATTATTATTGTTGCTCTTGATTATCACTGTTTACTTGCAGCTGTCTCTTGTTCTTGATGTGATTAGGTTCTATCATAGCGCTGTTTCAAAGCATCTTACCTGCCACATTACTCGTTTTCGTTTGGTGTTAATCTAATACTGGATTTTTGTTGTCACCCTATGCTACTTCCTTGTTTGGAGACACCTGAAATCCTTTGCTTTGAAGATTGCAATATCCGGCAGTCGGTAATCTTTAACACCTTAGTAGAGGGTAGGACCAGGAATCTTCTTCGTATGCTTTGGCTTTCAACTCGGAGCCCTTTTGGTTTAACTAATTAAAAGTAGTTGATAAGCATCAAGTATGAGAAGCACTTGTAAGTTCTGATTTTATAAATAAGCAGTTATGCGTTTGAATATGAGTGCCACAACTAATAAGAAGCAATTAATGTGCTAAAAAAGTAAAAAACACTTTTCCTGAAATGCTCATAAAGTTATTTATATAAAATATAAATTTAAACATGGAAAAAGGATGAATGGTAGAAATGGAATGGAGAAGGAGTTAGTGATTTAATACGGAAATGACAAAACGACATTATAAAAAATTACAACAACAACATACCCAGTATTATCCCACACCGTGGGGTCTGGGGAGGGTAGTGTGTACGCAGACCTTACCCTACCTTGTGAGGATAGAGAGGTTGTTTCCAATAGACCCTCGGCTCAGGAAAGTATAAGTCCACATTAATGGAAATATAGACAAGAAAGGACCGTACCAAAAAGCCATATAAAAGCAGAATAAAAACAACAAGATAGATTATAAAAAATTACTAGGGATAAAATTATAAAAATCTTAGTCAAACCAAAACCTACGTGGTGCAAATAGATTGAGCGCTCCTAGCTTGCTCATTAGGTATTCATATTGTGATCTTCCCAGGGCCTTTGTAAACAAGTCTGCTTCTTGATCTTTTGACATCACATACTTGGTTCTGACAATCCCTTGTTGAATTCTCTCCCGGATGAAATGTAGATCTATCTCTATATGCTTTGTACGTTCGTGGAATATGGGATTTGTAGCAATTTGGATTGCTGCTTTGCTGTCACAGTGTAATTCCACTGGCAATTCAACCTCTACACCTTATTCTTTGCAAAGTCCTGTTAGCCATAGGATCTCTGAAACTGCAGCAACCATGCTTTGTACGTTCGTGGAATATGGGATTTGTAGCAATTTGGATTGCTGCTTTGCTGTCACAGTGTAATTCCACTGGCAATTCAACCTCTGCACCTTATTCTTTGCAAAGTCCTGTTAGCCATAGGATCTCTGAAACTGCAGCAGCCATGCTCCTGTATTCTGCTTCTGCTGAGCTTCTCGATATTGTGCATTGCTTCTTTGATTTCCAAGATACTAAAGAATCTCCCAGCTTCATCACATATCCTGTTACCGATCTTCTTGAGACTGGGCATGATGCCCAGTCAGCATCACAAAAGGCTGTGAGCTTTGTAGACTGTTTTGAGCTCATTAGCAAACCCAATCCTGGAGCACCTTTTATATACCTGACAACTCTAACTGCAACTTCCATGTGTGACTTCTTTGGGCAATGCATGAACTGACTTAGTACATGCACTACATAACATATGTCTGGCCTTGTCATGGTGAGATACAACAGCTTCCCCACCAGCCTTTGATATGGTCCTGCATCTGCCAACTTCTCATCTTCTTTCAAGTTTTTGTGTTGTTCATACTCCACAGTAGTGAGTTTCTGATTGCATTCCATTGGTGTAGCTTCTGGGTTTGATCCTGCCAATCCAAGATCAGTGGTCAATTCCATTGCAAATTTTTTTTGATTCATCAATATCCCTTCTCTTGACCTTGCTATTTCAGTTCCAAGAAAAAACTTCGACTTCCCCAAATCTTTGATTTTAAAGTTACACTGCAATATGGACTTTGCCTCTGAAATTAGACCGTGATCATTCCCGGTTATGAGAAGATCATCCACATATACCAAAATGATCACTAACCTGGTGCCTTGCTTCTTTGTGAACAAGGAATAATCAAAGTGACTCTGCACAAAACCTGAACCGAGCAATGCCTCGGTCAATTTTAGATTCCACTATCTTGAAGTTTGCTTCAACCCATAAAGGGATTTATGCATCCTACATACTTTCTCCCCCTGGCTGGGAAATCCCTGAGGTATGCACATATAGACTTCTTCAGTGAGGTCTCCTTGAAGAAATGCATTGTAAACATCCATTTGGTGCAAATTCCAGTTTTTTGCTGCTGCCAAAGCTAGAACTCTCCTCACTGTCACCATCTTGACTACAGGAGAAAAAGTTTCCTGGTAGTCTAATTCTTCAACCTGATTGTAGCCTTTGGCCACTAGTCGTGCCTTGTATCTTTCAACCTCTCCATTGGCTCTATACTTTATTTTGGACACCCATTTACACCCAATAGGAACCTTTCCTGCTGGTAAGTCTACTAATGTCCAAGTTCCATTTTCTTTGAGTGCAGTCAACTCTTGGTCCATAGCTTCAATCCACTTGGGATCTGCTGCTGCTTCCTCATAGCTCACAGGCTCCTTCAAGTTTGTAATTTTGGATAGGTAGGACTTATACTCGGCTGAAACACCAGCATGACTCAAGTAGTCTTGCATTGGATACTTGCAAGGGTGCTTCCCAGCAGATCCTGTCAGTGACCCATTGCATACATCATCTTGCATCCGCACAAGCTCTTTCACAGTCCTGCCTGATTTCCTGATCTGACCATCTGTATTGTTGAGTGTAATTGCATCTGAAAATGACTCTGCCTGTGGCTTTGCATCTTCAAAACCCAGTGAATGTGGTGAGGATGGTGCCTCTGCAGCAGGTGATGCTTCTTGAGAGAGTGTTTCTTCATCTATAGGTGCTGTTGCTGCTGGACCATCATCACTATTAGCCGATGTATCATTACTGCTAGCTGATGAATCAAGCGCTCCATTGGGAAAAATCTGCAGCTTTCCTTCCTTTAGCCGCTGAAAAGGGAAGATGTGTTCCATGAATTTGACATCCCTACTAACAAAGAAAGTGTTAGTTAGGATATTATATAGTCTGTGGCCTTTCTGGGATGATGAGTATCCCATCGGTACAGCCCCAATAGATCTGGCTGCAAATTTGTCTCCTCCTCCTACAGTTTTAGCAAAACAAAGGCATCATATGGTTCTCATGTGCTGCAATGATGGTACTTTCCCATGCAACATCTCATAAGATGATTTTCCTGACAATACTGATAAAGGAAGCCTGTTGATCACATAAACTGCTGCCTGCACACACTCTCCCTAGAACTTAAGAGGTAGATGACCCTGCAGTCTAATGGCCCTAGCTACTTCTAATATATGTCTGTGTTTCCTTTCTACTACCCCATTTTGCTGTGGAGTGTGAACATGGGAGGTGGGGGCTCTACCAAAAAGCATGTAACGACACAATCAACAGGTGAGCCCTTACCCGCACTCCGAGCAGGTGGGTATCGACAGTCACAACGACGAACTATGATGGATCATTCCATATGAGTGAAACAAATTTCTGAATCAGAATTAAAAAACTCAGATCCATTGTCACTTCTTAAAATTTTCATTGTTACACCAAACTGATCACTTCTTAAAATTTTCATTGTTACACCAAACTGAGTCTTTATTAAAGCTAGAAATTGTCTCAAGCATACAACCACATCACTCTCGAGTCTTAACAAGTAAATCCATATCATCCTATTGCTGTCATCTACTATATATAGTAAGGAAAATTTTATGTTCATTGTGACTTGGCTCTATATGGGCCCCATACATCTGCATGAATCAACTCAAAAGGCTTATTTGATCTACTTGTACTCTTTGGGAAAGGCAATCTTCCTTGTCTAGCTAAAGGACACATTGTACAATCCCTTATTCTATCACTACTAGTCTTGAACTTCATGTTTGGTATCTGCTTTACTACTTTGTCTGGAGCATGTCCAAGTCTTCCATGCCATACTCCCAAGTCCTCCTCATTTATAGAATCATCATGTAAGTGTACAGTTGCAGCCTTGACTTCAGTTTTCTGGTGCTGCAGATTGTACAAGCCATCTAGTTCCTTACCAATCCCCTCACTTTCCCAATGTGAAGGATGTGAAGGTCCTGTATGATCCAAAAATCAGGATAGAAGGATATGAAGCATCTTAAGTCCCTTGTAAGTTTGGAAACAAACAATAGGTTGTAGTTAAATTCTGTAATATAGAGCACATTCTTAATGATGCCACTTTCACCAATTTTACTTTCTCCCGTACATACAATGTCTAGTGAGGTACCATCAGGTAAATACACCTTTGGTTCATTCTTTATACTACCAGTGTCTATCTTATCAAGCAATTCTCTGGTGTGAACCATGTGATTGGTCGCACCAGAATCTGCTATACAGTTTTCATTATTTACTTTGTCATTTGTGGCAGTAGTCTTAGTTGTACCTGCAAATTTTTTTATGTTATCACCTGCATCCTTGTTGATTAGCTTTAGGATCTGGTCATATTGTTCCCGAGTGAACATGATTGCCTGTGCTTGTGCTGGATTTCCCATAGGTGTATTCATCATCTGCTGCCCCTCCTGTGATACTGCATTGGCCACTGCTTTAGCCATTGGCTGCTGTGCTTCTTGTGTTGTTGCATTGACCATTGGTCGTTGAGGGAAGCTATTTGCCTTCTTTCTCATTTTGAAGTCAGCTGGGTATCCATGTATCTTGAA